ACAAACCAGTTGTCCATTAAAGACTTTTTTGGTAAAAAGAAGTAACTTTGAAAGAGAAACATTGTTTTTTTTTAAATTTTTAATGCTTTCCCGCATCTATCGTTTTCCCGCATTCATCGTTTTTATTTCCCACCCCCGCCGAAAACGATGCATCGAGGTTTCACTGTAATATAAAAATGAAAATTTTGAAACAGGACTGAATTTCTGTCATTTTCCAAGTGTAAAATACTTCGAAGTACGTCTACACTTACCTGTCTCGAGTGTAGCCCAATTTGGGTTCTGTATAGTTGAGTAAGTCATCACGTGACCACTGTGGGTTTTGGTCTCCACACAACATAACACGAACTTCCTCAGGGCTAAATGCTCTTAGCTTGTCCATCGGAAACACTCGACCAAATCCCGCACAGAAACTTTCCAACTGACGTGCAATTCCTTTCTCGAGACAAAATGCTGTGGTGAGGTCACCATATTCCTCCACATTGTCTAGGGTCACCTCCGTGTCAGCACCTCCAAGGGCAAGGTCAGCCGCTGTGTAACCAAACACTCGTGATGATGGCAAGTATGTGAACGTGATGGCCAAGTCTTCAAGTCTCATGACTGGACCAGATGATGGGACTAGAGCCAGATTCTGGATTTGGTGAGCACGTGCTTCACAAGATAACGTGTTGTCTTGAGCAATGCGAGCCTTGCGGGCTACCAGCTCCTGAAGTTGGTGCAGGAAACGTCCACGCACTGGGTCAACCTCTGAAAGATCTTCACTTCCAAGGATACCACTGAACCTGAATGACAATAAAGTAATAGTTAGGAGTCTTTGATCAGATTAAAAGGAGGAAAACCATTATACACAAATTTTTTTGTTAAATTTCGACAAGATACGTTTTCTAACCATCTTATCATATACTCTACATAACTGATGAGCTCTGGTGACCATGTAACAACATGGGATAACCATTACATCAGTGCTCAGGAAAATTCTGCACAGCCTGTTGTTCCGAAATAGAAAGGCAGAAATACCTGACCGCTGATGATAACTATTAAGTTAGAAAATTCATCAAATTATACATTTATTGAATGCTACATTACAGTATAATAATCCTTCCATCTTAACTCTTAGCTACAGTTACTCAATTTTTAATGAGAAAACTGTTTTAATGCACATGCACTTAGAATCTGTTACCCACATGAAAGTAGACGACAAAGCTTTGTATGTATATTCTAACTTACCAAGGTTTAGAGTCTTCTGGGTTCAGCTTTGGTGGATCTAATTCCAACTCCTTTTCGCTTTCCTCAGAGATGTAAGATGACATCATGACATCTTCTTCTACATTTGTGCGACGTGAACCAGGCAGGAGTCCAATTCTGAAACAGAAATTAAGTGTCAATCACTGTGCAAATATTTTTTATTTTTTTATTTGTAGTGTTCTGTCTGACGACAGGTCCATATGAACAGGATCCTTCCATCCTTTTCTCGGATTGGGACCTGTTCATATACGTTCTTGGCAGATGATCCAGAAGTGGTTTGCCATTGCCTTCTTCTGTGTGTGAATGGAGTAATTGTTGGGATGCCACGGAGGAAAACTCCGTGTTGCCGAGACCACGGCCTTGCACAACACAAGTTATAAATTCGG